GAAGGGACCTCAGAGGACCCTGGCAGAGAGGAAGGGACCTCAGAGGACCCCGGCAGGGAGGAAGGGACCTCAGAGGACCCTGGCAGAGAGGAAGGGACCTCAGAGGACCCCGGCAGGGAGGAAGGGACCCCTGAGGGCCGCAGGCAGAGCCAGAGCGAGGGGGAGAATGTAGGGGAGGGAGAGGATGAGGGGGAGGCAGAGGATGAGGGGGAGATTGGAGGGGAGGGGGAAAGGGGTGATGAAGGGGAGGCAGCCCAGAAGGGGGAAATTGAAGAGGGGGATGTAAAGTGGAAAGATGAGGGGGAGATTGTAGGGGAGGAGAAGGGGGAGGATGAGGAGAAAGAGGAGGGGGAGGCAGACCAGGAGGGGGAGATTGTAGGGGAGGAGGGGGAGGTAAAAGGGGAGGATGAGGGAGAGGATAATGGGGAGGCACTCACAAAGACAGGGAGAGGAGTGGAGGAGTGACATCATCACAGTGGAGTGACATCATCACAGTGGAGTGACATCACATGGCATCTTTGGCCAAAGAAGGAAGATGTAGAGAGGCCTGTGATTGGACAGCTGCTGAGGTGGGCGGGGCTGCGACTGACTGATACATGCTGGAGCCTCATAGGAAGGTTCTGGACGAGTTTCATGATGGTTTGTTACCATGGTAACCATCAAAGCAGCAGAATGGCGCCCCGGCCCCTGCTGGTGTTCCTTCATTTCCAGTAAATAAATCACCTTGAAACTCAGAACCAGAACCGATGCTTCAGCCACTGAAAACTCTGACGTCTGATTGGTCGAGAGTTTAGAATGAGCCAATCAGCTGCTGCTCCTTTGTAACATTTCCTGTTTTTTAAACGTAATGAATCAAATGTCGTCACTTTGATGTAAAGTTTTAGGATTCTGATGAAAATTATTTTAATATAAATTATTGTTTCTGACTGCAAAGGGGGCGGGGCTCCGCATAGTTTGGACCAATGAGAGGAAAGCTCTTTTAACCGTAATTATTAATATATTTACTCTTCTCTTCTGTGAACTGTACCATTAGAAAAGGTAACGACTGTGATGTCACGAGTCTGTGACATCACCAGCTGAGTTTCCATGGAGATGTGTAGTGAGTAGCTTGTGCTGCTTCTGTAAACACAATCAATTAAAAATGCTGAAAGCGTTTATTTTCCTCATTTTCTTCTTTTTATGGAGAAAGTTTACAAAAAAAATGTAGTGGATGCAGCAGCTGAGCAGAGAGCAGGAGCATCATCATCATCATCTTCATCATCATCTTCATCATCTGCTGGGCACTTTAAAACAGCCACAGCTGAAAACAAAAGAATAAGATACAGTAGAAAGATTTAAAAATAAAGCAATATCGAGATTGGTTCAACTAAATAAGGTCACAACAACTAAGTGGCTCCAATGAGGTCCTGACTGTCTGCTGAGATGGTCTGTAGGAGTCAGAGGATGGTCCTCTCTGGAATCTGCATGTCTATGAAAAGATAAAGACCTGCTGAAACATCCACCATCAGCTGGTTCCTCATCCAACCATATTTACTCCTCTTTGGGCACCAGGGGGCAGCAGAGGCACCTGTTCTGGATGGAGACAGGTCAAGTATCATCGTTGGTAGACTCTCTCTCTCAGGTTTTCGTTATTCTATTGGGCATATATCTGCGTTTTAATAAAGAATTTATGACCTCAGATCTGATGTCTAAATGCTAAGAATAAACCAAAAGGTTTTTATAGTTCAAGATTATTGCTCTGCTGCTCTGCTAGAGAACAATGAACAGAAAAAAATGCTTTGGGGTTATTTCCACATGGGCACAGAGAAAAATTAGCGGACGTGAATATAGCGTAGAAATGACAATAGAACGCCCTAGATATTTGCCTCTCCACCTGCAGCCAGAG